CACCGCCCAGTCGACAAAGATGGGTCGACCGGTGCTGGGGTCGTGTGTCCGGATGTCCAACCTTGCTTCCTGGAGGACCCCGGCGCGGGGATGGCGGCGATCCCACACTGGAACGTGCTTTTCCGTCGGAGCAGCATGACCCGTGATATCCTTGTGCATGGATGCATGTCGGCCACGGAGACGGTCGTGCCGGGCGGCGCGGGATTGGTCCACTTCGCCTGACTTGGCATGGAACCCGCGTGGGTCGAGGGACTCTCCGCACAGCGTGCCGTTTTGTCGTCGGTGTTGGCAGCGCGACCCGGCGGGGCAGACTGGCGCTCGTAGCCGGCACATGAGATTCACCTCGAAGTGGTCGTCTGGCTGCAAAGGGTCTCCTGGTTGTCGAGGTTGGAGAAACGCCCCTGCGCCAACGCCGCCGCGCTCCCGGAGCGCCAGCCGGTCGTTCTCAGGGAGCTCCCGCAGCAGTCGTTTTCGGTTCTTCGCGGGGGCTGCCTTGCTCCAAACGCCCTGGAGCTTACCGTGGGATTCCTGAAGACAGCGGGCCCAGTCGATGGGCTGTCCGTCTGTCGCCCCCGAGGCTTGTAGCGCTGGCTCAGTCTGTGCGAGCCACCGCGTCCCGAACCCCTCCAGCGTGCTCGCGTCCGGGTACTTCGCCACGTCGTGGAGGCAGAGCGCCCAGCTCGAGGCGTAGGCTGCCGCTGCGGTCTGGGCAGCGGAGGGAATGGCGCACCCTCCGTCTGCGAGGCGCATGGTGGCCTGCAGCCTCTGGAGCTCGTCCAGGTGACTTCCCTCCCTCCCTCCCTCCCTCCTTCCTTCCCCCCCCTCCTCCTCCTCTCCTCCTCCTCCTCCTGACTCCTCCTCCTCCTCTCCTCCTCCTCCCCTCCCCCTCCTCCTCCTCCTCCTCCTCCTCCTCCTCCTCCTCCTCCTCCTCCTCCTCCTCCCCCTCCTCCGCGTCCTCCTCCTCTTCCTCCTCCTCCTCCTCTTTCTCCTCCTCCTCCCCCTCCTCTTCCTCCTCCTCATCCCCCTCCTCCCCCGCATGGATGCTGCGCGGGCCTTGGCGTCAAGCTCGAGAACGTTGAGGCCGTGATTTCTCGATTTGACGTATCCTCTCTGCGATGGGTCGATGAATGACGGAAGCGCCTTGGATAATTCCCTGGAGCACACGCTGGTCATCACCTGGCAATCGCAGCTTTTGAAGCGGAGGGATCTGGTTTGGAGCGGGTCTCCGTTGATTCGGGCGTCATCCTCTGGAGCATCGCTTTTTGGAACAAAAACACCTCGAACAACCCGAAGTCTGGCAGCGCGCCGTGGCCCTCAAGGTAGAGCCGGATCGCGTGAATAAGTGCGTCGCTGCCTGCAGGCTGCGCGGCCCGCGCTGAGCATGGTAGCCCATCCAGGCCAGGTTCGCGGGGAGGGGGTGTCGTTGAGGTTCGCCGAAGGGGCAAATCGGCCCAATGACGCGTTCGCAGCATTCGCGTCGATGGGCCCCTCGTCAAAAATCGGTGCCCAACCATCTCCCAGCGCGCGGAGTTTCATCTTCGGGCCTTCGATAATACAGTCATTGTGTTTCACTCCTTGGAGAACCGTGCGCCCATCAACAGAGCCCTAGAGTTTTGCTCTTCTTTGTAGGCCGCGCATTCTACGATGCCAACGGGCGCGGACGGCAGGAGGCGCAGCAGGATCGTCCTCGCGACAAACAGCTGCTAGAGCACGGTGGGGGCAGCCATCTGGGCGTCGTTGGTTGCCTGGAAGAAAGCCTCTGGATCCTCGGATTCAACAGTGGCTTGCAGCGCATCCACTTCCAAGTGGGTTTCGGCCAGGGGGTGGGCCCCGAGGAGACGGGGGGCGCGCTTCATGCCCTGATCCCAGAGCGCCCTCGAAATATATGTGAGAACAACAAGCATGACCAGAGGGGGATTAGGGCGATGTTTGATAACGCAACCTCGAGCGCGTTGCGCTGCAGCCCTCATCATCTTCTTGTGAAGATCGAAGACCCTGGATAAACTTCGCACATTCGGATTGCTGACGAATTTCCCTTTGGAATGATCTGCTCCTCTGCGTCCACGGGGCCCTTCAAACTGAGCGAGACCGAGACTGCGGCATGGTCGGAGAGGCGCTTCTGATCTAAGATCTCGGGCGCGCCGTGGACGAGCGCAGCGGTGCGCGGCTGGGCGAGATCAACCCAGGCGCTGGCACTAGGACTCGGTCTATGGAACTCAGAGCGTTGTTTGCATTGTTGCAATGAATTTCCCCTTCCACCCCCACTTCCGTAAACCGCCAGAAAATGGTTCCACGCAGAGGCCCTAGGAATAGAAACCCGAGCAACTTCGCCGCGCCGAGCAGGGCCAGGGGCAAGAGAGCGAGGAGGTCCCACAGGAACATTGAAGTCACCCGCTAGAAAGACCATGGACTCGAGGGGGCGCCTGGAGGCCTCCAAAACGTCTCTCTTCATAATATCTGCAATGTGCTGTCGGAGGTTCACGTTGATGTCATGCCTGCGGATGTTAAAGTGCATGGCCGACGCGCAAGACCTGAACCGAATGGCCACGCGCAGGGCCTTCCCAGGGATCAAAATCTGCGCGGGGACCCCAGGCGGGGAACGAGGGTGAAAGGGGCAGAAGCAGGGCGCAAAGGTGATCACGCCACCGGCGTGCTGGTGGTCGTCAGCAAAAGAGGAGCATGCGACAAACGGCATGCGCGCGCGATTCCAAAACATCGCCCGCCGCAGCTCGCGCGCCATGAGACTCTCGCATCGCAACTAAAGCCCCTTGCTTCATACATGGACGAACGAAAGAGAGTTTACGGGCACGCACCCCAAGACTGTGGCGAAATAGCGCAAGAGCGTTCCAAGTCGATGTCGAGTGGAATGGGACGCGGGGCACACCCTTGCAATTCCTGAAGGATCGGGTTTTTTAAAGCTCCGCCCCAAGTTATCCCGCTGCGGGGCTGAGGCAAAGGATCTCGCGCTCCTGATCGCTGCGAGGTCAAAGCCCAACGCGTTGATGTCATTCGCGAAGAACTCCATAACAATGGTGGGCGTCGCGCTCGGAATCGATATACGAATGAGCCGCTTCCACTGGCATGCAGTGGTCCCCTGCTGCCTGTCCGTGAAGAATTTGGCCGAAGGATAACATTGATGAAGAGCTTGCCGTACGTGCTTACACGTGATCTCGGCGCGGACCATCGCGGGCGACTTATCTGCTGAGAGGAAGACGTCCGTCGGGTAGTCCTGCGTGTCGGCCGTCGCGAACTTCTGCCATGATCCGTCGGGGAACTTGAGAACTCCCAGGGCCTGCGCCACGCGCCTGGCCGCCAGGGGCGCGATGCCCTTGATGCGGAGCGCGAGTCTCTGGTCCACAGGGTCGCTCTCGATCGTGCACTGGTCCTCGTCGAGCTTGATTTTTGAAAGCCACGGCTGCAAAGCTTCGACGAGCTGGTCCTTGCCCACTGGGGCTCGGGTCCTCGCAATGATAATCGACACATGTGAGGCGCGATGGAAGGAGGCATCTGGCACGGCAATCTGCTGCGGGGTCTCCGTCCGCATGACACCGAAGAGTGTGCGCAGTTCGGCGATACCGTTCTCGAGTTGAGAAGTACGCGCATATTGTTGGGACTGTTTCCATTCAGCCTGAGCTAAGCGCTTCTCCATCTGGCGGCCGAGGGCATTGCAGTTGTTGGCCACAGACTTGGCCAGGTCGCCGACACCGTTCTGGAGGGATCCCACAGCACGAGAAACTCGCCACGGGTGTTGTCCACATAGGATCTGAAAGACGGGATGTCACCAACAGCATCTGCCAGCGGAGTGCTGGGTGCTCGACCGCGGGGGGGGGGGTTGTCCCTCCAACCATCCCGAAGGCTGGTTCATCACCAGGGCCCATACCAGAACGCTCTTGAAAAGGAAACGTGGCCATGTTCTCAAAACTGGCGAGCATCGAGAGCGTCGCTTCCGCAGCGGCACGGCGGCCGTCGCCGCTCCTGCTGCGGTCGTGGCCCCTTGCCATGTCAGATGCTGGTGCGGGCGCGAGACGGGCTGCAAGGGAGACGCCGAAAAGTGGGCCGCCTGTCGGCCCGTGATCTCCTCGAGAGAGGCCTACGGAGAGGCCGCAAAGCTAATCGCTGATTCTCGGACGCCTATAGCCCTTCACAACGTTTAGCCGTGAGCCAAAATGGCTACGGACCTCCGATTCTCGGGAGAAAACAAACCTACCTCGCTTTTGACCACCCTCGTTTCCAAGAGATACCAAACGATGCCACATTGCCGCCTGTACTGGTCAGGCCGCTTGACGAGGAGGCGCGTGGTATGGCTTGGTTTTGCCTGGAAGCGAAAGCGGGGTAGGTAATTCACGCTCTGAGATTCCTCCTCCTCCTCCTCCTCCTCCTCTTCCTCCTCCTCCCCTTCCAGCCCCATCCTGCCACCTCGTCGGGAAGAGGGGGGGAGGCGGGGGGATGAGGAGGACGGGATGGGGAGGGGAGGAGAGGGGGGTGGAGGGGAATGGGTGAATCATGGAACGGCGAGGTCGAAGTCTGGCCATCCGTCGAAAGCCCAGCTCACGCGTCGGGACCCTAGTACATCGATCCAGCGCAACATGCAACCGTGACCGCGTCGTTCCTCCTCCCCCCACTACCCTCCACCACCACCCTCCATTTCCCCCCACATCCTCCCCCCCCCATCCTCCTCTTCCTCCTCCTCCTCCTCCTCCTCCTCCTCCTCCTCCTCCTCCTCCTCCTCCTCCTCCTCCTCCTTCCGTCCCCCCCCCGCCGTTGCCCCTCCCCTCACGCGTTCCGCCCCCATCCCCCTTCTGAGAGCGCGCCCTCCCTCCTCCCTTCTCTGCCCCCGCCCGCCCACTCCTGTTCCGCCCGTCCCCCCCTTTCCTGGAGAAGGCCAGCCCCGACGGCCGACGAGTCTGCACAGAGCTGCCACTCCTCGGCGAACTCCGCTCCACCGCCCGCGACTCCCCGACGCGCGCGCGGTGCGCGCGAGGCGACGGCGGGCGGGGGGCCCATCGCGCGATGCACGTGGTGAGGAGCTCGCCGCACTCGTCGTCCTACGCACAAGGGAGCGGAAGGCCTCCATGGGGGCCACGGGCTCCTCGGAAGGCTTCTCAGAAGTTCCTCGGTGGCCCCCATGAGGCTCCTCAGAGGCTCCTTGGAGGCTCCTCAACAGGCTCCGAAGGGAGCTTCGCTGCCCCCGTGGCCCGGCCCACAAAAGAGTCGTAACCTGGGCCCTGGCCTGTGGAGCTCCTGGGGCCCAACGGCAGAGTCGTGACCTGGGTTTGGGCCTGTCGGGTTTTTTGGGGGGCCTTGCGCGTCGGGCCCCCGGGCCCTGCCGGGAGCGCGCGCGGGAGGGTGCTCCGCTGCTCCCGTGGCCCGGCCCACGGCTTCTGGCTTATGTAGCTCCCAGGGCACAAAAGAAGAATCGTGACCTGGGTTTTGGCCTGTGGAGCTCCCGGGGCCCGAAGGAGGAATCGTGACCTGGGTTTGGACCCGTGTTTTTTTTTGGGGGGGGCTTGCGTGTTGGGATTCTGCTTTGCGGGTAAACCCTGCGAAACGAAGATGTTGCGAAATTCGGCCCGCAAGTTGAAGCAAAAGCGGACGAGAAGGACGAAGGGGAGGGGGAGGAGGAGGAGGAGGAGGAGGAGGAGGAGGAGGAGGAGGAGGAGGAGGAGGGGAGGAGGAGGAGGAGGAGGAGGAGGAGGAGGAGGAGGGGGAGGGGGAGGGGAGGAGGAGGAGGAGGAGGAGGAGGAGGAGGAGGAGGGGAGGAGGAGGAGGAGGAGGAGGAGGAGAGGAGGAGGAGGAGGGGGAGGAGGAGGAGGAGGAGGAGGAGGAGGAGGAGGAGGAGGAGGATGAGGATGAGGATGAGGAGGAGGAGGAGGAGGAGGAGGAGGAGGAGGAGGAGGAGGAGGAGGAGGAGGAGGAGGAGGAGGAGGAGGAGGAGGAGGAGGAGGAGGAGGAGGGAGGAGGAGGAGGAGGGGGGAAGGGGAAAAGGAGGGGTAAAGGCGCTGTGCGGATAACCCTTGTGGCCCAAACGGCCACTCATATAATCCAAAAACACACAGCGGCATGCGAGGGGAAAGGGAAGGAAGGAGGAAGGAGAAGCGGAAGAGAGGGGGGTCGAGGAGGCGAGATAACCAAGGTTTCTAACAACTTGCGCGGGCAAGTATGACAAGAGTTTTGTCGAAAAGAAAACGAAGCCAAACTCAGGGCCCCTTGATAGGAACCAGGAACAAACACCAAGACATTTCACACAAAGGGTCTCGGCACCACCAACGGCGCAATGCATTGACACACATACCACTGGATCCCAAGCGATCCGAACCACGGTTGATGCACGGCCGAGCTCTAGGATGCTGTTGACACGCATGGTGTGGCAAGGCTGTCGGCGGCGACGAGATCCCAAGATCCGCTACCGACAAACATTCCATGGTGGTTTGGCACAGCCAAACCGCCGTGCAACGTCAGTTTGTTCATCCGTTGACAGCAGCACGCGTCGCGGCAGCAGAACGCAGCAGCGCGCGGGCATGCAGGGCCGGCGATGTGGCTGGCCAGCTGCCAGCGCGGCTTCGGCAAAACAGCCGAAATCCACTTAGGATCGTTTTGGGCGTGGTACCTGGCACAGTTGCATCGCACTGCCAGGCGCAGCGGCCTTGTAGCGCCAGGCCCCGCGCGCTCCTCGAGGCGGGAAAGCAAGCTCTACACAAAAGATTCGCGCGTGCTCTTGTGGGGGCGGCGAAAACGACCGCACAGAAAAGAAAATCCTTTGTGTGCCCCCCGCGTTGGCAGCGCAACCGAACCGCGCACGCAGGAATTACACGAGACTTCGTGGCACACAAAGGAATTACAGCAACGCCCTCTGGGTTGCGTTCTTAGCGCGCGGTGACAGCTCCGAGCTGGAAAGGAAGGGGGGTCGGGAAAAAGCAAAGCAGGGGAAGAGGAAAAAGAAGAGGAGGACGAGAAAGAAGCGAAGGAAGCAACGGAAGGAAGCCAGGATGCGCACAAGCTAAGCTAACACTGCGCGCCGAGACAGCTGTTCGTTCGTTCGGTTGGCCGCGCGGCAAATATATAAAGAAGAATTGTTTGCTGCCTATCGAAGGGACTTCTTGGGAATGAGACTCGCGCTCTCTTCCCAACCCCCTTTCCCACACCCCTTTGCGAGCGCGCGAAGATTTGTTCTGGCCCGCGGGCAGAGGACTGCCAGCTGCTGGTGAGCGGCCTTTCCACCCGTCACGCGTTCCGAACACATGCGACCAGCTAAACGCACTTGCCACGCAAACCGCCAGCTCCAAACACCGACGCCACCCCGATCCCCGCACCCGTGCCTTACACCCTCTCAACGACGTCACCTTCCGGCGTAAAACCAATAAAACCCCTGGTGTCTATGTGTTTTGTCCTGTTCTGACTTGAGCCTGACCATGCTGGGCTTGGCCCGCCAGTGCGCCTGATCGCGCAATATCAAACCGGATTGAGCGGGACTGGCCTGGACGGGGATGGACAGAACCCCCTTTAGTAAAACGTGGTTTAGTGAAAACGACCTGAGGCCCAAACCTGGCGGGCGCAAGCCTGGAAAATAACGGCCGCGGCGCCATCTCGAGAACCGAAAACGGACAATTAACTAATCGACGTGTCACTGTTGGGGGTTCTGTCCGCCCCCGAATAAAGCTGGATTCAGCCGAATCCGGCAAGTCTTCGCCCAGGGATGCACCAGCGCTGCTGCAGAATCTCACGTCCCAGGAACTGCATCCTACCCGAGGGGCTCCCCGCCCCCACGGGCCGCGGGCACAGAGGAGAAGGAGGGGGAGGGGGAGGAGGAGAAGGGGGAGGAGGAGGAGGAGGAGGAGGAGGAGGAGGAGGAGGAGGAGGAGGAGGGGGAGGAGGAGGAGAAGGGGGAGAAGAGGAGAGGAAAAGGAAGACGAAACGGAAGAGGAGGAGGACGACGACGAGGAGGAGGAAAAGGACGAGGACGAGCAGGAGGACGACGACGATGAGGATGAGGATGAGGATGAGGATAAGGATGAGGATGATGATGATGATGATGATGATGATGATCATCATCATCATCACCATCACCATCACCATCACCACCACCACCACCACCATCATCATCATCATCACCATCACCATCACCATCACCATCACCATCACCATCACCACCACCACCACCATCATCACCATCATCATCATCATCCTCATCATCATCCTCATCATCATCATCATCATCATCATCATCATCATCATCATCATCATCATCATGATGATGGATGGGCGAAGGACAGAGGTACGAGAGGCGAGGAACATCATCCTGAGTGCTCGGCCGTGGACCCCCTTTCGATTCCGGCCCCGGGTAGTCTTCGGGGAAACTTCTGGCGGTCTTCGGCGGTGTTCAATCGATTTCCAGACGTCTTTCGGACGGTTGTCAGCGGTCTCTGGCGGGAAAGCTGGACGGCTGCGTTTGAAAAAAAGGGTCTACGGCCCATGGTCAAACTCACAAGCATGAGGGATGCACCGCCTGGGATCCGGCGGGAGCCGGATGGTTGCGTTTGAAAAGGGCCCCTGGCCCATGGTCAACACACACAAGTATACACAAGGGCTCCTAACTTCGCGCTTCGCGCTGCGCGAAGTGCAAATAACTTCGCGCTCTCGCGCCGCCTCCCAGGGGAGACGAGGAGGATTAGGAGGAATCGGAGCCGAACCGCGAAGCGCGAATAACTTCGCGCCCTCGAGGGCGCCCTCGAATCCCCTGCCCACCAGAAAGTGGCAGGCGGGGGGGGACCGACGAAGCGGGCGGGGCAGGGACACAGCGCACGGGGACCGGCCTGGCGCGAGGGCGACGGGCCCTGGAGGACAGTCCAGGCTTCCGGCAGACACAGCGGAGAGAGCGCTTGATGGGCTTGTTTTCCACCACCACCACCACCATAAGTTGGAGGGGGAGGGGGTCCTCCTCCTCCTCCTCTCTTCCTCCTCCTCCTCCTCCTCCTCCTCCTTCTCCTCCTCTACGTCCACCTCCTTCTCCCCTCCAACGTATGGTGGTGGTGGTGGTGGAAAACAAGCCCATCAGCGCTGATCTGAGATGTGGGCGCGGCCGCCCGAGAACCCCAAGGCAGTCCCGCGAAATGGGCACCAACGCGGGTGCGGCGGATGGGCGCCAGGCTCAGTGCTTTGCGAGGCGGGGATTTATCCATATCCACCGCTTGGGAAACGACGTCCTGGTGCCCCAGCGGGCGGCGGATATGAATATATTTTGGCCCCCGGGGGCCCGAATATATCCGTATCCACCGCCTGCGAGGTCCCCGAAAAATGATTTCCCAGGCGGCGGTCATGTATAAATTCTCGCCTCGGATACTTGGGAGATGGTGTCGTGGAAGGCCGCAGAAAATGAAGGCATCTGGTCGAAGTGGCTCAAGGCAAAAGCTGGCGTCGGCGAGGAGGCGGACTCAGATGGAAGCCGGAGCAGAATGGAGCACCCCCATCAAAGCGAGCCCTCGGCCATGGACTGCATCAGGACGACGAAGAGGAGGGAGCGAAGGAACGAAAGAAGGAGGATGGCAAGGGAGGAGCGAACGAGCGAACGAACGGGCGAACGACCGAGGAGGAGCGAACGAGCGAGCCAACGAACGAGGGAGATGGGTACAGGAAGCATGGAACATGGATTGGCCTGCCTCCAAAAAAGAGGCAGGACCGATAAGAGAAGGGGCGAGACGAACAATGTATGCAACGAAAGGCAAGCATGCGGGCAAATGCGCCCGAGCGTGAAACACACCGGCAGTATTGCCAATACGGTCGGACAAGGCCGAGCATGCAGCAAAACAGGATTTGGCCCTTTTTTCCCGTCGTCAGCATAGACATGGAGACAACATCAACACAACATACTAATCATCACAAGCGTCACCATCTATCGACACGGGGACGGCCGTGCGCCGCGCGCACTAAAGGTGTGGGACCAAGGCCAACTTGGGGTCCATTGCGATGGGGTGGGATCCCAAAGTTCACTGTACATCCTGAGGGTGGCGGGAACTACCGGACCCAAGGAGACACTTCGCTTCGGATCAAGTCCGCCGAGCAGGCGCGCGAGGCGATCACGGCCTGTGGCAGAGGCCATCTTCGCGGGGACAGGAAGGGAGGCAGGGACACGGAGGGAGGTGGGGAGTGGAAAAGAATGGGGTGGATGATGAGCATGCCGCATGCTCATCATCCAGTGGGACAGAAAGTGGGAAGATGAGGAGCATGAGGGAGCTGAGGAAGAGCACGCAAAAGAGATGAAGGGGAAAATAGGAAAAGGATGAGGAATTATATAAACACACATGCATTCGTTGTCGCCACCCTCACCACGCACGTCACTACAATCAAAACGTGTATGAAGGACGGGTGGGAAGGACGCAAGACCCTTGGAGGCCGAACATTGATTTCTGTGGGCGGCGGGTGACCAGTGAAAACGGGAAAAGACGGGCCGCAGAGGCAAGGACACGAGGGCATTCTAGATGAAGGCGCTCGTCCTTAACAGGCGCGTTGGCTGTATAGCAGTTGCCGCCTATCGCCGCCATCGCTTGGTCACTTTTGGCTGTAACCCCGAATCGTCCTCGACGCTCTCGTCGTCCCCGTCCTCCTCATCTACGATGGACGGCTTCGCCCTCTCCGCAGCGAGGTCCTTCGCGGCGTGGATATCCAGAAGCGGCGGGGCGGCAGGGAAAAAAAGAGCACGAAGGGATGGCGAAGGCACAGAGGGAGGGAATAGAGGGAGTGGGGGAGGGAGCAGCGGGAGGAGGTCGAGGGAGAAAGGACATCCATTACGAATACCTATACGACCACCCCTCGGGTGATAAGGAGGTTCGGGGGGGGGAGGAACCAACGTCTCACTCGATCGGTCTCACTATCGATCTCACTATCGATCTCAGTATCGGTCTCGCTCGATCGATCTCCCTCGATCGATCTCACAATCGATCTCACTCGATCTATCTCACAATTGATCTGACTATCGATCTCACAATCGATCTCACAATCGATCTCACAATCGATATCACATTCGGTCTCACGATCGATCTCACTATCGATATCACAACCGCTCCCACAATCAACGTCATCATCATCATCATCATCATCAACAACAACATCAACATCAACATCATCACCACCAACATCATCATAATCGGGACACAGTCCTCATCATCAACACCAACATCATCATCATCATCATCATCATCGTCATCATCATCATCATCATCATCACGGTCATCAACATCATCGGGACACCACCATCATCATCACCATCACCACAATCATGATCATCAACATCAGCATCATCATCATCACCATCGGGACACAGTCATCGTCATCATCATCAGCAGCAGCATCATCATCGGGACACCATCATGATCACCATCGTTATCATCATCATGATCGTCGGGGCACCATCATCATCATCTCATCCTCATCATCGACATCATCATCATCAGCATCATCAACATCATCATCATCAGCATCATCATCATCGTCATTATCGGGGCACCATCATCATCATTACCAACATCAGCATCAACATCATCATCATCATCCATCGGGACGCCATCATCATCAACATCATCATCACCATCATAATAATAATCATCATCATCATCGGGACGCCATAATCATCATCAACCTCATCATCATCAACATCATCATCATTGGGACACAATCATATTCAGCATCATCAACATCAACATCATCATACTCATCATCATCGGGACACCATCATCGTCATCATCACGGTCATCAACATAATCATCATGATCATCATCATCCTCATCATCGGGACACCATGAGCATCATCATCATCATCATCATCATCATCGTCATCGACATCATCATCATCATCATCATAATTGGGACACCATCATCATCATGTCATCATCATCATCATCATAATCGTCCTCTTCATCACCATCATCATCATCGTCATCATCATCATCGTCATCATCATCATCATCATCATCATCATCATCTCATCATCATCATCATCATCATCATCATCATCATCATCATCATCATCATCATCATCAACGCGGGACACCGCGGGACACCGGCGGGACACCGCGGGGCACCGCGGGACACCGCGGGACACCGCGGGACACCGGCGGGACACCGCGGGCCACCGGCCGCCCGGAAGGGAGTCATTTGGTCCGGCCGCGCCTCAGCCACACGGGACTTTCGCGGGACACCGGCGGGACACCGCGGGCCACCGGCCGCCCGGAAGGGAATCATTTGGTCTGGCCGCGCCTCAGCCACAGGAGACTTTTTCTCGCCCGCCCACGCAGCTTCGCCTCGCCCGCACGCACGGCACGCACGAACACGAAACCGAAATCGATTTCCCGGTAGGGGGGCTCTCCGTTCCACTTCGATCTCACCCCCTCACCTCCGATCTACATCATCAGGCGGAATGCAAACACGGAGCGGCAACGACAGGGGGGGGGGACGGGCTTGGCGGGGAGACGTCGAGCTTGATGATCGGCGACACGTCGCCGATGCATCGGCGATAGGCCGCCGACAGGGGAGCCGCACGTTCCTGGGCGGGGTGGGACCTCCTCCTCCTCCTCCGCTTACTCTTCCTCCTCCTCCTCCTCCTCCTCCTCCTTGTAGTCCTCCTCCTGCTCCTCCCTCAACCTCCTCCTCCTCGTGCTCCTCCTTCCCTTTCCTGCCTGTTCTCGTCCTCCTTCCTCGCTGGGGGGGGGGGTCATCGGGCCCCTGTCGCCGATTGGGGCTCGAAGCGCAGCTCCCTTTCTGAGCCTGCCCCCACCCAGCCCGAACGTTGCCGCTGATCGGAGCCCGAGACCAGCATCCCGCTCGCCCTCTGGGCGTGGGTGGTTGAATGGGATGCACAGAGACATACTAATACTATGTGTCCGCCTTGGAGGCGCGCGTCCGACCCGAACATATAGTATACCCATCTTGTAGTATATCGTTTCTCGAGCGGTGTGGCCAGAAAGCGCCCGCCACGACGCATATACTATAAGATTTCTCGGTGCGCGCGTCGCCCCTGGGGGGGCGACGCACATATAGTATAAGTATGTTGGGGTGTTGCCGATTGAAGGCGGTTCCTGGTAGAACCCCCTCTGTTTTCCCACTTCGGAGAAGGGATCCCCCCCGTTCCACCACGCCGCAAGAGCCCCACCCTCGCCTAAGCCGAGGTCACCGCACGTTCGAGGTACCATGTTGGGTTCGGCTGTGATGGTTGGTAGAGGTTTCCTCACGGTATGCTCGTGGACCGATGGGGGTGGTGATGCCGTTTGGGCTGCTGTTAGGTCGGGAATATCCTCTGACAGGCGGATTGTGGACGGAAAATCTAAAATACCCCCCCCGGACAAAAATAGCCCAGATTAGGGAAACAATGTCCCCATACCATTTTTCATGTTTTTCTTATTTTTCCTCCTGTAAAGGGACATGGCTGCTGCCGCTGCCGCGGCCACTGCTGCTTCTCCCCAATCTGAGATTTCCGACTCTCGAATACGATCGAAACTTAATTGCAGTATTAGTTGGCCGAGCAATTGATGCTACAACTGCAATATTAGCACTACAATAAATAACTACTGTCGGCGGCCTTGCTGTAAGAATAATGAACCTCAAACCGCAGAGGGATCCGAATCAGAATTGCCAAAGGATTGCCAGGGCCAGCGGGAGCAGTTGAGTTATTAGAGAGGGATATCATTCGAATTCCCGAGAGTTCGAAAGGATTTCACATCGCTGCGGAATTGTGCTCAGATATGCCAGAGGATGCCTGGGGCAGAGAGAGACGTTGAGTTGAATAGGAATTTGAATGTCAATTGATGGAGTTAGAAAGGATTCTGAATCGCGGGGGAATTGCACTCAAAGTTGCCAGGGGATTCCCAGGGCCAGCGAGAACTGTTGAGCTGGAGAGGAATTTGCTATTCAGAATAGCGGCGACATTGACTTCAGATATGCCAGAGGATGCCGGAGCCCGAGGGAGATATTCAGTTGGAAAAGAAATTACACTTGAATTTCCAGAGTTAGATCAAATTCTGAATCGTAGATCTATTAGAACCAGCTTTGCGAGAGGACTGCCAAGGCCAGAGATACACATTAAACTAGAGAAGAATGTGCAATTCAATTTCCAGAATGAGAAATGATTCCGAATCGCGCCGGAATTTGACTCAGATTTGACAAAGGATGCCGGGGACCGAGAGAAATACTGGGTTGGAGAGGGATTCGCACATGAATTTTCAGAGTTCGAAAGGATTCTGAATCGCGGAGGAATTGGACTAAGAATGGCCAAAGGATTACAGGGGCCAGCGAGAACGATTGCCTTGGAGAGGAATTTCCATCTGCCTTGCAATATCCATAGTGAGAAAAGATTCAGAATCTCGGCGGAATTGGACTCAGACATGCCAGAGGATGCTGGGGCCAGAGAGAAACATTGAGTTGGAGAAGGATATGCAACTGAATTCCCAAGGTTAGAAAGGAGTCTGACTCGCGGGTAAATTAGAAACAGACGTCCAAGACGAGTTTGCCTGGGCCAAAAGGGGATATTGAGTTGGAGAGGAACTTCCAAGTGAATTTCCAGAGTTAGAAAAGATTCCGCATCGCGGCGGAATTGAAAGCACATTCGCCAGAGGAGTCCCAGGGCCAGGGAGAAACACTGAGTTTGAGAAAATTTCTGGAATTACCAAGGATTCTCAAACGTGGTAGTTCGAGGAATTCGAATCAGATTTGACAGAGGATTGCCAGGTACAAAAGAAGTATGGCGTTGGATCGGACTTTCCACATACATTTCCAGAGTTAGAGAGGATTTGGAATGCTAAATGGATTCGAACCAGAATCGCCAGACGATTGCCGGGGCCATCAAGAGTTATTGAGTTGGAAAGGAATGCGCAATTTGTTTGGTTGAAACTTGCGGCGGAATTGGAATCAGACTTGCCAGAGGATGGCCGGGGCGAGTCTGATTCCAAATCCGCAGCGATTCAGCAGACTTTCTCACTCTTGAAACTTTATGGCACATTCATATCCAACTGAAGAACATGTTCTCTAGCCCCGGCACTCCAGTGGCAACTCATATTCGAACTCCGATACGATTCAGGATTCTCCCCAACTCTGGAAAGTCAATTACTAATTTCTCTCCAACTCAATAATTCTCCCTGGCCCTGGCAATCTTCGGACGAGTCTGATTCCGATTCCGCCGCGATTCAGAATCCCGTCTAAGGCGTGGAATTTCAAGTGGGAACTCCAATCAAACTCAATGTCTCTCTGACCCATGCCATCCTCGGGCGAGTCTGATTTCAATTCCGCCGCGATTCACAATCATTTCCAACTCTGGAAATTGAGTTACACATTCCTTTCCAATTCAATAGTTCTTCCTGGCCCTGTCAATCCTATTCCTTCCTGGCCCTGGCAATCCAGACTCTGGCGAGTCTGATTGAATTTCGGACCCTGGAAAGTCAATGGTAAACCGATCTCCAACTCAATAATTCTCTCTGGCCCATGCCATCCTCCGGCAGATATGATTCCAAGTCCGCTGCGATTCAATATCTTTTCTAAGTCTTGAAATTCAATCACAAATCCCTCTCCAACCCAATACTTCCTTCCAACCCCGGCAATCCACTGGCAATTTTGATTCGAATTTATCTACGCTTCAGAACCCTTTCAAACTCTGGAAATTCAAACGCAAAATCCCTCTCCGACTGGATAGTTCTCGCAGGCCCTCGCAATCCTCCGGCAACTCTGACTCGAATCGCTCTACGATTCGGAATCCTTTCCGACTCAAGAAATTGATATGGAAATTCCTCTCCAACTCAACTTCTCTCTGGCACGTACGTTCGATTCATGTTCGCATTTGTGCCGCGCAAGATTACAGTATCAATGCACGTCGACATGCTTAAATAATGTGTTTACAGCGCGCGTTACAGCAAATAAATCCTACACCAATGATGCTGCACTGCAACGCAAAGTGTTTAATACTTGCACGATCGCCGGCGACGCTGAAACGCACTGCTGGAGAGATGTGATGGCCTGCCTTGCTCGTTTCCTTTTTTTACCGAGGTGCCGTCATCCTCGTTGTCGTCTCCGAGGCTCGTCGTCGTCTCCTCTGCTTCCCGCCTGCATCCTCTTGCCGTCCCGTCCAGGAGCCAGCTTCCTGTGGAATCGAAGGAGAGGGTCCCAGGAAGGGGTCAGAGAGCCGAAGGCAAGAAGGGGCGCAACCTCCTCCCAACACTCCTCGCGCTCTTCCTCCTGGGGATCCCGAGACGGTGTGGTGGCAAACCGTGCGGTGATCTCGGAACCCCCAACGACCTCACCGTACCGTCCGTCACCGCACGATTTCGGGCCCAGGGGGCCCCAGTCGCCCGAGACGTCCTCGGAGAACGACCCCGAGCCCCAAAACCGTGCGGTCAACCCGAATCCCAACTTCGGTCGTGGACAAACCTCTCTTTAATGAACCTCCATTTCGTGAAAACGGCCTAGGACCGCAACCGACGGACCTGGACCCGCAAAAATGACGGCCGCGACGCCCTCTCGAGAACCGAAAACGGCCAATTCGCCAATCGACGTGTCAGGATGGGAGGTCTATCAACCTCCGACAACTGACTCGCCAGGCGGTGTGGTCGCCGCGCCGTTCTGCCCCCCCCCCCCCGCGCTCCTGCAGGAGCCCCGCGCTGCTGACGCCGTTCTGCGCGGCGTAGGCCATGGCGTAGGCCGACGGGTCCATGGCGCCGTGCTGCGCCGCCATGCCTTCGGACGCGGGCGGTTGCAAAGCCAGCCATACCTTTTTGAATGGGGCCCTGGGACACACACACACACACATATATATGTATATATATAATACGCACAAACGGCAGGATTCCCCATATCTTCCCACATCTTTCTGGGTTCTTGTCTTCCCCCCCGCTTCCCACATGTTCCTATATTTTCTGGGGATCGACGACTAGTTGTGTCGTTGTGTTTTTCCCTCCTGATTACTCCAGATTTCGTAATAAAAGGGAGGGGGTCTGGACCCTCCAGGACAAGCCATTTCAGCCCCCCCCCCGTGGGAGAACCCTCCAAAACATCGTCCCCAGACCCCCCCAGGCCCTCCAAGATAGCCTGGAAGAGACCCCCACCGAAATGAGACCCCCCTCCCTTTATTACGAAATCTGGAGTAATTGTGTCGTTGTGTTTTTTTCCCTCGTGACTATTCCCTGAGATCCTAACGTCGCCATATCTTGAAAACGGACGAGTCCGCCCTGCTTCGGGCCTTGGGGCCATCACGGACCGATCCAGCTCGACAGATGCAGCACAAAGATGGGGCGTCGGGCCCCGGTCGAATTGTTTTACGACGTTGCGCTTTGTTCGTGACGCTGGATCCCAGGGTTGATCCTATTCCTTTTCCTCCTTTTCTCCTCCTCCTCCTCCTCCTCCTCCTCCTCCTCCTTTTCCTCCTCCATGTCATCACCATTGTTCCTCTTTTCTCGCTCCGCGCTCCCCTCCTCTTGCTCCACCTCCTGCTCCACCTCCTGCTTGCTCACAACTCCTCCTCGGTGTCCTTATCCTGCCCCACAGCCATTTCCTGATATGTTCGTTCCACGCCCATGCCCCCGCATGCTTACCACAATTCCTTCTCTTCATGTTTTAAAGTCCTCCTGTTTCCCCTCCATTTCCATACTATGTCATTCCTCCTCCTTCCTCCTCCCTCCGCTTCCTCCATCTTGCGTTTGGTCCTTCCCCCACCTCTATGCGCAGCCCTCCAAATCCCTTTCTGTTTGGTTCTAGCTCCTGCCCCCGCCCTCAGGCAGCGCGCTGCCCCAATCGGTGCCACCTCATGACGGGCAACGATGCGGGGAGGACCGGCTCAGGAAGGGAAGCCATCGACCTGGAACTAACGATACTCGCCGGTTGGACACCGTTTTTTCGTTAGGGGGGTAACGGTTGTTACCCAAGGGGGGGGGCGGCGGGTAACGGTAACGGCGGCCGCGGCGTGCGCCCGCCAAGGTGCGTCCGCGCCGTCGGCACATCAGTTGCCTGCGCGCGCTGCAATCCCTGCGCGCGCGACAGTGCCAAATGCATCTGCCTGGTGCTTAAGCAGGATTGAAAGATTGATTTGCCGCCTGGTCAGTCTGAAGCCTTCAGAGTTGGCGACGTGACCTCTCGGGGGGGCGGCGGGGCGGCGGGGGGCGCGGCGGGGATCTAGTCTAAGTTGGGGTCGGGGCAGTCGGGGTTCGAGCAGACGTCGCCTGGAGCAGCCCAGTTGGAGCCCCATACGGCACCCCCCTTACCCTGTTCATGGTTTTCCTACTTGAAAATGTCCCCCCCCCCCCTCCTCCTCGTCACCCCTCCTCTCCTCCTCCTCTCAGTAGCCGCTTGGTTCCGGTTTTCAGCCATGAAGCGTCCCCTTGCCAGTCCGGGATCCGGCAAGCTCCGCTCCGACGCGGATCGCCATCGCCGCCGGCTCCGACGCAGATCGCCGTCGCCGCCGAGCTCGACGGAAACGGCTGGCCCATGCGAGCAGCCCCCCAGGGATGGCAAGCAATTTGATGTGATTTCTGGCAGCGATACGATAGTTGACAGCCCGTCTTTGCTTGTGAACGTTAACCCTTTGTCTGACGATGCGATTTGGATTCGACTGTACCATTGGGAATTGCAGACTTGGCCGTGGAGAAATTTATTCCCTGACTTACTGGAAGAGTATTTGGAGAATTTGTCGCACAGCGAGGACCTTCCGTTCCTTGAGTGAGCTTCCTGAGAGAATGTACAGGATGTTTAGAACGGGCGCAGGGACGCGGAGAAAATGTTAAGGGCGACGTTGCCTCTCAGCGGGGGCACAGCATATCATAGCAAAGCCCAGCATAGCATAGCATAGCGCAGCATAGCATAGCATAGCATACCACAGCGCAGCACATCATACCATAACACAGCACAGCATAGCATAGCATAGCACAGCATAGCGCAGCTTAGCATATCATATCATAACATAGGCAACATCGCAGGGCATAATATAATTATATCATATCATACCGCAGCATCTCATGGCATAGCATAGCATAGCATAGCATAGCAATTAATGCGGCTTCCCTAGGGGCTCCAACTTCTAGGCAGGGTCGCACTGGGGTTGGCATTATCGCCTTTTCGTTTCCGATGGGCTTTGGAAGCCTCAAGATGGCCCCAAGATGACCCAAAAGAGGCCCAAGAGGGGCCAGCGAAGGCCGAATACGGCCCCAACATCGCCCAAGAGGCGCCCAAAAGCGCTCCAAGAGGGCCCCGAGATGCTGTTTGTGAGCCTCCGATGCCAATTGAGGCGCCTCCTCTTTTTGAGCCATGGGGCCCAAGATTGGCCCCCCAACCTCACCCCTAAGCCTAAGACCCTCCACCCCGCCCTGTTTGAATCATAGTCAAGTCACTCCTCCTGCTCCTCCTCCTCCTACTCCTCCTACTTCCCCTCTTTTAACGCCTAGCCTTGCCGATTGCCCTTCTCCTTCTCCTGGAGTCCTCCTCCTTCTTCTTTTCCACGTCGCCCTCCTCCTCCTCCTCCTGTTCCTACATTTCCCTGATCGTCTCAACTCGCATGGGCGATGGATGGGTTGGTGGGGGTACGTGAAGCAAGCGCCAGGAATAAGGATTTCTGTTTATGGTCATGTAAACGTCGGAATTGGCTCCAATAGTAATCCAGACCCCTCCTCCTCAAGCCCCACCCCTGGCAGGGAGGACCGCCGGGAGCGACGGTCGCTCGGGGGCCCGCGACTCGCCGCCCGGGGGGCCGCGACGGCGGCGACGGCGACGGCGGCCACAACCAAGAGGAGTAGAACGAGAACAAAGGAAATACGAGGGCGAGGAGGACGAGGGGGAGGAGGGGGGGGAGGGAGAGGAGGAGGAGGAGGAGGAGGAGGAGAAAGAGGAGGAGCAGGAGGAGCAGGAACAGGAGGAGCAGGAGGATGAGGAGCAAAGAGGGGAACAGCCGTCATCGCTCGAGGCAAGAGGAGGGTGGATGAGGGTGCAGGGTGAAGGGTGATAATTATGCTGATGAGGAGGAGCTGGAGTAGCGGGAGGGGGAGGAGGAGAAACAGGAGCAGGAGGAGGAGGGCTAGCAGACGAGCCAGAGGCCTCTTGAATGGCTCTCGGAGTCTTCTCGCCTGATGTATGTTGGAAGCCTTGTGGAGGCCTCTCAGGGCGTCTTGGGGGCCGATCGGCGGCCTTGGGTGCGTCGCTGAGGAGCGTCTTGGGGGCCTCGGGGAACCTTCTCGGCCATCTTGGGGGTCTCTTGGGAGCCTCTTGGATGCCTCTTGGTCACCTCTTGGGGTGTCCTGGGCGCCTCTTGAGGTCTTTTTTGCGGCGCTCTTGGGAGCCTTAGTGGCGCTCTAGGGGCCATATTGGAGGAGATCGATCAACAAAGGGGACGTCTTCAAGTCTTGACGCTGTGCGTATCCCCGCCAGCCCATCCACAATTGATTGCCCGTTTTCTTGGGGCCCCTTTGGGGGCTATCTTGAGCCATGCTCGGCTATTAGCTGTCGGAGGCTATCTTGAGCCATGCTCGGCTATCTAGGGCCATCTTGATGTTGTCTTGAGGTTTCTTGGAGGTGCGTCGGAGGCTATGTTGAGCCATGCTTGGCAATCTTAGGCCATGTTAAAAACCACATTTGCATATCTTGGGTTCTCTTGGAGTCATACTGGGCCAAATAAGCTCCAATGTTTGTAGCGTTGGTTACGTTTCGACTCGCATGGAAGCTGTTGTGGCTCTGCGCGCGCCCCCACTTCTCAGAGCTCCCAACTCAGTTCTGGACACGTCCGTCGGCCCCATGGACCTGGACTGGGATTTCGTCGTCGGCTCGCCCGCGAAGAAGGCCCGTCAGAACCCAGAGGTTGCTCTTGTCAAGAGACCGTCCTCGACTGGCACGTCGACGCTTCGGCGCCCAGCAGCAGCCTCAGCCGCTCCCATGCGTCGCCCAGCAGCAGCAGCAACCCAGCAGCAGCAGCAGCAGCAGCAGCAGCAGCAGCACAAACCAAAAGTGACCACTGGGAGTTGTTGCACTGGGTTGGGGACTGACGAACTGGCCCTGGAGGCCATCGGCGTGAGCACAGCACCCGTTTTCATGTGCGAGCAAAAGTCACACTTGCGCGAGCATTTGGCCGCCAGGTTCCCCGATTGCGATATCATTTTGGACGACGCTTCGTCCACTTTGTTCACGAAGCACGCTCCGTTCGCCCATTGCATAGCTGACGCGCTCCGTTGGACCCCCAGTCAGTGAGTTAAACTAAGAGGGCCACGGAGCCTCAGTGAGTTACAGGAGGGCCACGGGGGCTTCCGTGGACCATCTCCCTCAGGGAGATGGTGGGCGGGGAGGTGGGAGGGCAGGTAGATAGACACGTGAAAGGGCCACTGCCTGGATGCCCTCGTGGGCGGGCCGAGCTTTTCACGGCTGGTTTCCCATGCCAGCCATTTTCACAGAATGGTCGCCACCTCGGAGAGAGTGATGACCGGGGTGGTGTCATCAAAGACATCATCAAGTATCTCAAGCGCGCAGCCGTGGGCCTTCGTACTTGAAAATGTTCCAGGGTTGGTTCGCATTCACACCGAATATTTTGCTTGGATCCTGAAGCAGCTCGAGAATATGAAAGGCCAGGACAACCAGCCCCTGTATGACGTCCAGTGGCAGATCCTTCGCACTTGGGAGCACGGCGTGCCGCATCATCGCTCGCGCGTGTACATCGTTGGCGCGCTCAAGAGCCAGACGAAGCACCCATTCACGTTCCCGAAGGCC